TATTGTGCTTCACAAGACAAAATTTTCACAAGACAACATGACTCGCAGAACGAATTAATTTCGTCTTGCGAGGCATCACTGTAAAAAGGAATTGAGACTTAATGGGGCTTTGTGTTGGGAAGCATTCAGTTGGCCCAAAATAACATAGCAACGACCATTGATGGAGACGGGTAAATAGGATCCCATCATGGCAGTGTTTCGACATCTGCAGGGACTACCATTTTTTTTCTCAGAAGTCCAGTTCAAAGCTCTATTATTGACCTTGAAAGCTTTAAAAAGCATGAAGACACATCATCTGAAGAGTCCCCTCTTCCCATTTATACCTGTCTGGACATCAACATCTTTTTTTTCCCCATAGATCCTCTTTGGTGAGGAGAACTAGTGGCAAACTGGGAAGGGGTGGGAGTCTTTTGGTAGTATCTCCAGTGACTCATTCCGGGGCGGAATTTCAAGAGGCAAGTAGTGCGAAATTATGAATGGAAACTATTATTCATTTCAATGTGTCAGCTAGAAGTAGGACAAGCACTGAATTCAGCCCAGGATAGACAGAAACAGATAAAATAGGCCGTCTCAGCAGAGAAAGACAGTTTGTCAGAGGTCATCCGCTCCAATGAGACTTCTCACTTCCAAAACAAAACAAGGAATGTGCTCTCTCTCCTTGGCCAAGATTTACACCCTTTGCCCTGTGCAAAGTCAGTGTTCTTTCCCTTTGTGAATCAAGGCATAGACACATGGAAGAAAATGATGCAAACAACTCACCTCCGGCTTCTCACTTTTAAAGGCACATGGAACAAGGTCGCAGCTACTGTTGTTGTTACGTGCCATCAAGTTGCCTCCAACTAGGAATGACTGACCTCCAAAAAGTCCTGTCACTTACAGCCAGCCCTGCTCAGCTCTTGCAGTCACAAAGCTTCCCCTAAGGAGTCGCTCGCTGCTACCATAGCTTTCCACAATTTGCGCATGTTGCCATTTGGGCAAACTTTGTGCACTTTTTGCCTTTTGGGCAAAGGAAGTGTTGACTAGTCATGTTGCCATTTGGGCAAACTTTGTGCACACAGAGCCCTTGCACCTGTGCTTGGAGGTGCAAGGGCTCTGTGGGAGTGAACGTCTTCCTCACATTGGGTGGAGGGCAAAGGAAATGTTGACTAGCTTGGATTTTTCACCCACCCTTCCTACTGCAGATACCAAGAGAAATCCTGTTGGGTAGTTACACCAGCTATAAGTGCAATGAGCAATTGAAGAAGTGAATTGCTGTTTGTTGGAGTCACGAAAACGAGCAGGCTGATAGTTTATGTAGTCACAAGTAATTAGGATAACAAATAGTCTTAAAGACGTTAAAGAAGTCAGCTACAGACAAGGATGGATGTCTGCCAGCAGTGCTTCTAATGGGCGACTAGAAGAAGAGGATCTCAAGTAAGACGACTGCCCTGCCCCCAGGGGGACTGTATTTATTAACCTTATAAGCTCACAAATAGTTGACAGTATACAGATAGCTTGCAGAGTTCAGATAGGACAATGGTTACATAATGCCATTATGATTGGCCCAAGGAAAGGCAATTAAGCAAACTCTCTATTACCTGTGAGAAAGAAGAATGGGTAGCAGCTCCTCCCAGAAACAGCTGTGACGTCATCCAGGAGAGTGTGCTCTACTACTGTAGAATAAGCCAACAGTTTAGCAACTTTGGGGAGGGGCATTCCCTCACAGCTATTAACTGATTAGCATCCTTTTTTTGTCCTTGTTCTGCATCAGTGCATGGGACTGGAACATGATGAGGAATACAAGCAGCAGTGACTTCATAATTAGTGACAGTTAGCTTCTGCAGTTTATGCAACCGCGCTTATGCCAGCTGGATTAACCATTAGCCGGAATCCTGTTAAATTACGTCTAACCAGCATGACTCCATTGGCATAACTTTCCATGGTGAATCACCACAAATTAAGAAGCCAGTGTAGGCATTTCCTACCATGCAGCAGGCATAGAGTGTGACTCGGTGCACAATAGGAAATGGCTATATTAACTTCTTAACTAGGGCAATCTGCCTCTGAATATTGGGAAACTGTAGTTGTACCAGCACAAATATGCAACAGGATTGTGGCAGTGTTTCCTCTAAGATGTGCACGTATGTGTGTGCCTAGAGCTCCGTTGTGCACATGCAGCCAGAAGCTGGCTTGTTTACTTCCTGTTTTGAATGAAACCCCACCCACCCCCTGTGCACACAGAGAGAGGCGCCCACACAGAGGGACAGAAACTTAGAGGGAACATTGATTATGGCAATACGGAGTTATTGAAAAAGCAAATTTGAGAGCAAATTTGACCAACGTTCATCTCTGAAATCAAGGAATATGACCCTTGAATGGCTTATTTCAACAGTAACATGAAGGAGATTAAAAATCACAGTCGTTGCCACTTTATCATAGAATCATAGAGTAATGGAGTTGGAAGAGGCCTATCAGGCCATTAAGTCCAACCTTGTGCTCAATGCAGGAATCCAAGTCAAAGTATATCTGACAGATGGCTCTCTAGGTTTCTCTTGAATGCTTCCAGCTTTAGGACTAATCACCACTTGCTGAGATAATTACTTCCATTATTATACTGCTCTGTTCAGAAGTTTTTTCTGATATTCAGTCTAAATCTAGCTTCCTGTACCTCATGCCCGTTATTATGTGTCCTGCTGTCTAGGATGACTGAGAACAGATTCTGCCCCTCCTCTGTATGACTTCAAGCACTTGAAAAGTGCTATCATATCTCCGTTCAATCTTCTTTTTTGAGGGCTTAACCTGCCCAGTTCCTCATACAGTACAAAGTCTAAGACATCTCGACAATTGAAGATTCTCCATCTTTGGGTAACACTTGAAGGGGAGGCAACTCAATCCTTCTTTTTGTGTCTCCTTCACCTCCAATATGGATTTTCTCACTCAGTTTCCATACAGCTCCCTTTCCCCAAGTATCTCTCACTCCTCCCATCCTGGTTTGCAACAGTATCCACTGAAATTTGGTGATATGAAGATTAAAAGAGCCATCATGTTCCTCTTTCACTCATCCTCATGTATTTTAATCTTTGTGAGCGTCTAAATCAGCCTTGCAAGGGATCTGGAGAAGATTCTCATGCACTCTGCCGAAGCAACTAGGCGAAATAAGATCCTAACCATATCACAGGTGGATTATGTTAGGGTGTTTCCCCTACTCACCCCCCCCCCCAGATTGTTATGGGGCTGCATCATTCTAGCAGGAAACACCTGCCAAGTCCTTTCTATGTTTACATGCAGGATGGATCCATTTGAATGAAGGCAACTTTAAATGCTGACATAAATGTATTTCAGAATAAATTGTTTCGTTCCATACTGTCACCTTTCATGACCAAAGGCTTTCCTAAGGCAATCAAGATATCAAAGCATAGAAATGATTAAAAATGAAAAATTAACCAGGAAAGAATACCGACTTGAATCCTCAGGTTTAAAATATAGATGATATATTTATAGTGTGACAGCTGGTGTGATTTAGTAAAATAGTCTTTGACTAGGATTCAAAACAGCTGGACTTAATTCTAGGCACAGAAGCACACTGGTGTGATGTTAAAAGTAAACCACACCTTGAACATCACACATGACCTCAATCAGAGTTGCAACATGTTGGAAGCAACTCAACAGCACTGAACAACAACATTTATCATGTAAGCTCCAAAATTAACTGGTTGCTGTATGACTGAAAATGGACGAGGTAGCAAGTAACCAGATTCCTGTAGACCCCGTGTCATGTCCAAAACATCTGCCCCAAATTCCAGTGGAAGGCCAATAATTCCAAAGTTTTCTTTTCTTTTTAGTTGAAGCTCTTACTCCCATTATTTGGGAGGGGATCTTTTGCCTCTGAAGAGAGGGAAAGCGTGCATGAAATTTAGGAAACTCATAAATGAATAAGAAAGGGGGCAGGGCTCTGAGGTTCATATTATCATCCCAGGACCCCCAGATTCAGTTCCATGGCCTGAAGTTCTCGATCCTCTAGATTCTCTGTTTAGGTAAAGGTAAAGGTTCCCCTTGATATTTTCATCCAGTCGTGTCCAACTTTAGGGCACGATGCTCATCCCCATTTCCAAGCCATAGAGCCAGCGTTTGTCTGAAGACAGTTTCCGTGGTCACGTAGCCAGCACGACTAGACATGGAACGCTGTTACCTTCCCACCAAGGTGGTCCCTATTTATCTATTCGCATTTACATGTTTTTGAAGTGCTAGGTTGGCAGGAGCTGGGACAAGCGAAGGGAGCTCACTCTGTTGCATGGATTCAATCTTCTGACCTTGCAGCACAGAGGCTTCCGTGGTTTAACCCGCAGTGCCACCACATCCCTGATTCTCTGTTTAGTCACTTACAAACCAACCTACCATTTTAATAATTCTCTAGTCTTATCAAAAAGTTAAAGCCTCCTCCCAGAAGAAGACAGGAAAGGGATTTTTTTGGCTCTCTTCTATGTTTTCTTAAGGGAGGCAGGCCAAATAGTTGAGGTTGGTATGCCATGTTGATGCAAGGGTCTCACCAAATATGTATGTAAGCCAAAGCAACTCTGTTTAGCCTTATTCCAGCCCACTCCAATTGAGCTGTGTAACCAAGCCCTCTGCTGACACTCTTAAAATGCCTGATTTATAGAAAATGTAATAAATTGTGTAGCCTAGCATACCATATTCATAATGCTTGACCTCAGAAGTCTTTTTTCCTTCATTTTTTGCTTTTGATCCATTCCATGATGTGCAAAAATAATGCATTTGATAGAAGGTCATGGATTCAGCTTTAAGAGATTACAGATGTCAACTGTAATTGTGTTTTTGTGTTACAGTCAAACATCATTCAAAACAGATCATTTTAAGGGGATATTTTATATAGATGATTTTGTCATTTCACCCCATACATTGGAAAGGGACTCAGCTGTTTTGTTTTGTTTTGCCTATGAATGATGCATTGGGCCCCTCATTCCCAGGTCCATCACCTCTTCTGCCTCATGCTTTTGTTTCAGGAGAGGCTGGTTCTGTCCGTGTTACCCCGGTTTGTAGTGCTTGAAATGATTAACGACATGACCAACGTGGAGGATGAGCACCTGCAGCATCAATTTCACAAGATCTATATTCACCGCTACGAAAATGTCAGGTGAGGGAGGCGTCATCCTTATTCTGTGCTTTAACGATCACTCCTTCTCTACTGAATGCCAGCTGGGGGCTTTCTGGCATTGTGCTTTGATCAGCTCATTAATCATGGATTTGAATTTTGGGAGAGGTTGTATATCTTACTTACTTCTTCCCTTGCTTCCCTCCTCCTCCCTTGAGCAGGAGAGACATTCACACCAGTTTCCTCACTTAATTCATTGGAGCTCATGGCAAACCTTCTGTTTCTGCTTACTTCCATGCTGGTGGGAAGATTTTGTTTGAGGGAGGAGGGGGCCAGTAATGATTCAGTGTTGCACTGCAATGCCCTAAGATGGTCCTCACCAGCATATTTTGAAACCATTCTCAGTGGAATTAAGAAGACTGTCTTCCTTAGAAACATCATAAGACTGAGGAGGGTCATTTTTTTAAAGGCTCGCAGTGGCAGATGGACAACCTGGGCAGTTCAGCTAACCAGACACTTTTAGACAGCATAATCCAAGAGGTGGGAAGGTCCTATGTTTGCTTATGGCTTGTGTTCAAATATGAAAAACAGCCAGGGAAGAACAAAACAAAATACTCAAGCAGTCTGAGATGAAGGAAGAGTCCTTTTGGAAAGGATGATGAACGTGGAAGTCTTGTTAGCCTCTTGTGCTGATAGTCAGGGGGCCTCTATGCAGTACCATGACTTCTTAAATCTGAGGAAGTGGACTTGTCCAGGAAAGCTCATATTAAAATGTAGCAGTTAGTCTTAAAGGTTCCACAGCATTTTTGTCTTTTTTATATTTCTTTTATTTTTTGCCTGATGAGCTAACATGTTGTCTTCAGCTGGTTTTTGAGACTGACAGCACTCTTTACACCTGCTCTACACAATAGATGAGCCACAAAAATAAATGCAACCCACTTAAATATCTATGCATATCAACCTATCAGGGGTTAGATAAACCTCCTCCATCTGTTTTTTTAAAGTTGTTATTCCCACCCATCTGGTAATGCAAAAACTGGAAGATTGTGGCTCAGCTGACATAGCAGTTGGGTGGAGGGGTTTGCACAATGGCTTGGCATTGCCTGGTAATGTAAGAGATTTAATCTGCCTGAAAAGCAGTTGGTTGCATCTTTACCAAATGTCTCAATAAACCGGGGTAGGTGTTTTCCAAAAGAAGAGCCACTGGCCACAGTTTAACCTGAAAGTCTGAATCCTACCCCCCCAAAAAAAAGTTATTGCAAAGGGGAACAAAACCCACTATAGTGCTGCAAAAAGCTTGGTGATGGAACAGATTTTATCTGAAGGAAAAATACTGGCTGCACCTCTTTAAAGCCAGAATGATATAAAAGATGAAACCCAAACGGGAAAGTGCTTAGTTGCAAGCTGAACAAAATCCCTGAAGTTCACACTTGCCACTGACTTGGCATTGAGGAGGTGGGCCATGGCTTCTTCTTGGGGATTCTGGAAGTTGTAGTCCAAAAATCCAGACATTCGTGTTACTCTTTCCACGGTTTGTTCTGTTGACCACCTATAACAGTTTTGCTTCCTTTTCTCCATGTTGTGTTCAGCATTCTGTTTGCAGATGTGAAAGGATTCACGAATCTCTCCACAACCCTCTCAGCCCAGGAACTGGTCCGGATGCTGAATGAGCTCTTTGCCAGATTCGATCGCTTAGCCCATGTGAGTTGCACCGCTTATCGGTTTTCATGGTTTCAGAAAAGAAGAGGTAGAGTGTGTTGATGCAAGGAAAGCCATTTGATGTTCTAGACCTGCACAATGTCATGCTCTCCGTGCCAGATGTTTTTCACCAGCCAAGAACTTTGGTTTTTCCAAATCAGGGAGGGCTGCTTAACATCCCCGATCTTTCAGTGTCAGGGAACCTGGTATCTGCCTGGTGAGCTATCACACACATGGTTGGTACATTGCCTGTGACATAGGGATGAAAATGTTGGACTAAGATTCAGGAAACTTGGATTCAAATCCCAACTTGGGTGAGCTATCACACACATGGTTGGTACATTCCCTGTGACTTGGATTCAAATCCCAACTTGACCATGAAATTCAGTGGGACCAGCCACTCTCTGCGAACATGACTTACTTCTCAGGATTACTGCAAAGATGAAGTGGAAATAAGGAGAGTCCTGTAGCCATGTAGCCATGCCACCATGAGCTTGTGGAAGGAAATGTGAGATATGAATGTAAGAAATTTTTTAAAAATGTGACTTGATGCTTTGCAGAGTTTTGAATTTTTGGTTAAACTCCTCTAGCTCTGCAGAACTGCAGGGATTCAGAGAGCAGAATAGCTTCAAGCTCTCAAGAGTTCTAGCTCTGCAGAACTGCAGGGATTCAGAGAGCAGAAAAACTTCAAGCTCTCAAGAGTTGCCCACCCCTTTTCTCATCAACTGGCACTTACAGTCTCAATAACTCGCTGTGAGTGAAAAAGGATAGAAGTAGTAGAAAGAATTAAAAGGTTTCATTACTTATCATAAACAGCAAACGGACAAAGAAACTGACTTCCAACAACAGCCTTCAACAAACTCTAGAGAGGAGAAAAGCTCAAAAGCAGAGAGGCAGGGAAGGAACGATTGGTTAATTCTGCATAAATGGACACTCACTCCAGCCAGATTGCAAAAATTCCCAACAGATGCATCACAAGATTGAAAACCTCTTTGAGGTGTTGTACATCTTAATCTTGTGTTCTTGGTTTTGTTTTTCTCTCTCTCTCTTTCAGTTTTTTTCAGCTAGGCATTATCTTTTGCCCTTTATACACCAGCTGTTGGCCTCCTTCTCCATTTTGCAAATTCATTTGATCAAGGAGCTAATCTCCCTTTAAAAAACAAAACAGAAAACCCCTCTTGATTCTCTAGGGAAGGCAGAGAAGAGTTTTTTCCACCATTGCTATCACAGCAGTATCTTACACCTGGAATAGTTAGTGGGGAACAAATTCCCTCTGAGACTTCTGTTTCTATAGTCCTCAAATAGAACCCTGAGATTAGCGGTTTGCAAATCTGCCTCCTGTCAGTCCCAGGAGTCCCTTTAACCTTTGACCTTGAGAGAGGAGGTCATCCTTCCTAAGTCCTGGTGTGGGTTTTCCTCCCAGCTAAAGATGAGGCTGTTGGCAGTCAGAAAGATTCTTGTCTTCCCTTATGCATGATCATGGAAACAGCATCATTTACTTCATTTTTTTCTCTTCTTTTCTTATTCAGCCTACATTCTTAAACAAAAAACTCTTTTAAGGTGTGTACCTGATTGCTTTGTCAAGTGGCTTTGATACTTACTGAATAATGATTGAAACTCGGTAATCTAAGGAAGTGTGTTTGGTCCTGCTGGGAATACAAAAGCAGTAAAAGTGTTATATGGAAGTAGACATGGATTCATCCCCCACCATTACACTTCTTTTCTTTCTTCCTCCCCCTGCCCCCGATACTGGTCTTTCAATCAGAGTTATCATAGAAACTATAATATGTTGTGGCTCTGGATCTCATGGAAGCCTCCACGTGTCACTCGATTCTTTGTACTACTTTTAAACTGTTGGTAAGAACATTACTGACTCAGAAATTGAGAATGGCAGAAAATGGTAGAAATCCTTCTGAGAATATGTAGAAGCTGCACATTGGCTGATGCGTGTAGTGTAGAGATGGGGGTATCTGTATACAAAGCTGGGGTTAACGAGGGTCCAGCTCCTTGGGGCCAGACTGTCCACTTATGCACCTGCCTCCACTACCGGCCCCGCTCTTCCTTCCAATCGCCCTGGAGCACCCGGTTGGCTAGCCACTCCTGGCAAAAGGAGGGAAGATGAGTCTCCCTGCCAGGCTTATGAGCGTACGAATACAAATTCGTATTTGTATACAAATACAAATTAAGCCACTCCTGGCAAAAGGAGGGAAGATGAATTTCCTTGCCAGGCTTATGAGCGGCTAGCTGACCGGGCGCTCTGGAGCAATCGGAAAGAAGAGCGAGGCCATCAGCAGTGGATGTGTTCGTATGATACATACAAATGTTCATATACAAATTCATATTTGTATACGAATACAAATTCATATTTGTATGTGAATACAAATTTATATTTGTAAACGAATACACATTTGTTTTTGTATGCAAATACAAATTTGTATTTGCGTACAAATACAAATATGAATAACCCCATCTCTTGTGTAGTGTTAGGAACTAGACATGGGGACAAGTAAAAAAAAATCACAATATTTGTGAAATATTGCTGATTTTTCTCTTCATGCAGGCTGGCTTCCGGAATGGAAATGGGGTTTGCCTTCCCATAGCCAGGTTGCTGTCAATGTGACATTGTGTTACATTGCTAAAATTTGGTGCTTTGTCACTTCAGCCATTTATCAACATGGAATAATGATGAAACTTGATGAAGCGCCATTTTTTGATTCGTCCCCATCTCTATTAGGAACCATAGCGTGCAAAAATTACTTTCTTGAATTACAACTCCCTTTTATTTATTTATTTATTTATTTATTTATTTGTTTGTTTGTTTGTTTATTCGTTCGTTCGTTCGTTCGTTCGTTCATTCGTTCATTCATTTGATGATCCCACCTTTCTCCTTAAAAAGGAGCCAAGCCAGCTTATGTTAAAAATGATCCCAAACAAGGCTCAAACACCATATTAAAATATGATAAACAAAGCAACACCAAATCAGCTCCTTTTTATTTAGGCAGGTATTTGGCCTTTGATGTTGGGGGTCTATTCTGGGGAGGGATAGTCCTGGACTAAGCCCTATATATCTCCTCCGTGCATATCTACCAAACAACATTCACAGATTTCACTGCCTGCTAAAGGGAATGATCTAAAATGGTTAAAACTTAAAATTGTTAAAAGTCAGGAGGGGAAAAATGTAGCTGTTCCGTGGGATCCCTCTTTGATTCAGGCATGTCTCTTCCTGTTACCTGTGAGTCTGTTCCGTATCTGAGATGTTTTCAGTGTGCCTAGCAACACACATCACAATTGAAAAGAAAGCCAACCAAATGAGTACGATGTGGTGCCAAAGAACATAACTCCTCAAATGTCAGTCCATGAAAAAGACAGAAGCTTTGCAAGTGTTTTTGTTATGCTTCCTCATAAATCCTGGGGGCGAGGAATAGAATGATTAATCCTGTTTGGTTCTCTAAGCACATGGATAAACATTTCAGTTGTTGTGAAGTGATAGCAACAGAGCAGGCACACACCTCAAATAAAACCCCACTACATTTTCCCCCTTTCCCATTCTTCAGTCCACATGCTTTTTAGTGAATTTGACTTTTGTCTCATCTGATTTTTCTAGTCTCTTTTTTTAGGGCAGACCATCACAATGTTGGCATTCTGTGAGATGCACAGAGTTCAGGAACCCCCTCAGATATTTTGATTTCAATTCAATCAGATCATGGAATACTTCATGTATTTGCAGTTGTTTGCATCCATCTACAAAAAGGCTTGGCAGGAAGATGAACAGAGGTTGACATCATTTAAAAAACCCAAAACTACTGCCCTCTCTTTAGGTTTTTGCCCTGCAACATTTATTTGGCCAGGACCAAGTTGATCAGCCTCCCATCTTGGTAGACACTAGAACATTAGCAGAAAATGCTTAACGTGTCTCATTAAGCATTGATAGGCTTGGAAGTCTAATATGTTTACTTGCCTGTTGCATGAGGAACACTGCATTAAGCTGCCACGATATCAATCATTAACGTTCAAGACTAGTGGAGAAACTGGCATTGCCTGCAAATGGCACATTCTGTGGCTGGCTCTGTTAAAATTACCTTTTATAAAAGCAGTTTAGAGTCTCTCCTGTTGCTTTCTTTCTTCATTTGTATCAGATCGTTGCACAATTTCAAATTATGGATGCATATAAAATATAGGTAAAAATGTTAAGATCATTAGACTGTTTTTGACCAGAAGAAGGCTACTTTAATAGCATTATCTCAACCATTTGCCAGATCTTTTCTGTACTCTTGGTGAGGCGTAAATTGCATGCACATAAGTGCTGCATTGATAGAATTTCTCCCTAATCACAAAAAACTGTCCTGTGTCCAAACAGCCCCGTTTTACTCCATTATTCTTTGATCTTCCTAGTTCACTTTGAAGTCTATTATATGACCTCCAGATGGTCCAGCTAGAGTCTTGCCCTGGTGGTAAACACTCCTCAGCATCCATCCATTTGGCATGGTGCGTTGGTTGTGTTCTCCATAGGTTTAACCTAGCCTCTTCTGGTTTAATATTTAGAGCTTGAGATATGTACAGACCATTTTTCCTTTCCTTTCACCCACTGTCTAGGTGATTGGTGTCCATGAAGTGGATGGGTTTCATCCTGTATTACCTTACTTCATTCATTATTTGCTAGCTGTACTAGTTCTCTAAATTATAAGTGTATTCTCATGCTCATTTGAAGAATATTATGATTTTTAGCTACAGTAAGCATTGAATTCTCACTTAGACCTTTCAGAGTGCAGTATTTTCCTCGAACACAATAGCAGATGAGCAATGAGTTAATCTTTTCTTTCCCATGTTTTAAAGAAAGAGTAAGCAAGGGAAATAGCCAATAGAGCTGCTTAGAATAAAAGACCTCGGGGATGCTATCGGCTGCTTGGGATATGAAGCTTCTGTATTATTAGGTTAGTCAAACAAACTGAAGAGATTCACCGTTTTTCCCCTCCCAAGGCTTAGGATTCTGGAAGGTCAGCTGG